CCCGAAGAGGTGACGGCACATAATGCGACGCACTTCTTCGCATTCAAAGCTAACCCCTGCTGGTTGCAAACGACTCTACCTCACCCAGCATCAGAGGCAAGTCGATAATCCTGTCCGCTAGCACAACGATATCGTCCGCAAACCCCATAGCGGCAATCCTCATCTCAGAGTTGAGCGAACCGCCAGCCCAGTCGCGGTTCAGTGCTTCGAGGAGTTCGTCCACGACTATATTGAAGAGCAAGGGGGATAGTGGGTCGCCCTGTTTAACGCCCCGCCGGATATGAATGGGGCGAGAAATTTCATTGCCAACCTTTATGGTGGTGATACTATCGGCGAGGGTGCTCGCCACATATTCCACTATCCCCTCTTCCAGCCCAACCCTCCGGAGGCCTCTCAAGATGGAGGCATGCTGGACACTATCAAAAGCTTTGCGGAGGTCTACCGAGAGAACGTTATAGCTCTTCCCGGCATCCTTCCGCGACCCGATATAGTGGTCCAGAATAAGCACGTTAGCCAGCGTGCCGTCCATCTTTACAAAGCCTCTCTGATGATGGCTGAGCTGGATCGCTGCTCCAATACGGCCCTGAACGATCCTGTGAAGGAGCCGAAGCGGTGCAGACCCGATGGTAATGGGTCTATGGTTTTCGGCCCTCCGTCTATCACCATCCTTGGGCACCAGTATTGTTCGGCTTTGTTTCCACGTTGTTGGGTGGATTTTACTCCCAAAGATGGTGGTAAATACCACGCTCAACTCGTTGTTACTCATCTTTTGACGTCAGCTACTGTTATTCCATCTGGGCCGGGTGCAGAATTCTGCCAGTTGGCCTTCCATTTGCTGACGTCATCAGGTGTTATCGGATAGAACGCTGAGCGTTCTGCTACTTTGGGGTCCGCGATCGGTTCGTCGTCCCCAGCGGGTAAGGACTCCCAGATTCCGCCATATAACGCTTCCACTTCCGCCAAGGAAGGGAGTTCGATAGACTCTTGCATGCCCTGCCCTTTGAGCACGCGTTCTGCGAGGCCAGATCTGTCCTTGGCATAGAGGTCCTGCGCCTTCTTGTACTCGGCCGCGCGCTTGCCGCTGCCGCCTTTGGCCTGATTGTAGTGCCTACCGGGTTTACCGGCACCTCTCGTGCGATTGTTCTTAGTCCGTTTGTTTGATGAAAATCTCGACTCCACCCAACGGTCGAGAGCGACCGTCAGTTGTTCCGTGGAGCCGAGAAGCGCCATATCAATGACGCGACGGATCTCCCCATGCTCAGGAAGATTGAATCCGCTTCGAGCATCTCGCAGGTACTCTACAAAAGTAGAGTTTATGTTCACCTTTGGTGCGAGATCTCTCAGCGCAACGGAGGCAGCTCTGCCTCAGGAGCATGGGGAGCCGCGGTCGTATTACGACCGGAGAGGTTACCAGACCCGGAATGGTGAGCTGCGTTCTCATGCAGCGATACGGGTACTTTAGAACGCGCAGGTTCCATGCCAAGTTGGTCGCTAGGACTAGGACCACAGTTCTGGGTTGAACGATTTTCGATTGAATTGGAGAGTCGCTCTCTCTCCTCTTCCTCTTGCCATCTCGGGCATTTTTTGGCGCACCGTTGGAACCGGTGGCCTTAGAGCTAGTATTAATAGAGCTCGTATTCCTTGCCTACATCTGTCCCTACTCCAGCCGTCTTCCTCTTGGCGGGGTTGAGGTCGTGCGGTGAGCAACTCTCCCTCATCCGCTTCTGCCTTGCTGATACCTTCTGAAGCAGAGGAGACTCCATGTCCTGCGAAGAGGCTCGTTTCGCAGGAGCTGGTTGTTTAAGTTTGTCCTTTCCCCGGCAGGGCGTCTGGCACACCACGGAGGATCCGCTAGTAGAATGCGGCGGGGGAAGAAGATTTTGCTGGAAAATCCGAGTACCAGAGGCCCGGAATTGCTTCCGGGGGAGCTCGAGATATCTCTGATACTCGGGCTTCCTCCTCCTGAAAACCGCACCTGGTCAACGGTGAGATCTGTGGCTTCAGCCATGCACTATTAACTTAACGCCCGGCTGGTTCACGGGCTTCGATCCTCGCCATGATCTGCAAGATCTCTGGTTCTGGCAGAGGACCGCGCATCTTCTCGATCTCACCGGCGTATTCCACCGGGTGTGCCCTCCGCTCGTGCTGTCGGGTGGACTTGTAACTGCCAAATCTCATTGGACAGTGCTTACATTGGAGCCTGTCTTCGCATGCTCTTGCCATCTTGGTCGTTCTTAGCTGCACTGCCGACGTAAAAGCTGTGTCACACGTCGTGCAATAGTTTGGGGAGGACTTGGCGCCAGTATTGCAATTCTTGGCGCCGCTGACGGGCTTAGCCTTTGATATGTCTGTCCTCCCCTTGTCCTCACTCCCGCGTTTGCTCGATGCGGGTTGGGCCAGGTGTAAATCTGGCCCGTTGTTAGTAAGACCGGCGCCGAGAACCGGCGCCTTGGTCGATCTCGCGCCACCGTTCTTGTGGGGGCGCGGTACGTGCGTTCGATCCGGGAATTAGCCACCGTGACATAATGACACGGGCCCGACTCTCGGTTGGATTTGGAGGAAATCCGGAACCTTCCCGGGTGAGACTTAAGCTCCACAAATACACAAACCGATGTCACCAAGAAACGCTAACAATCTTGAAAAAGACGTTAGCGCAGCCTACAACACAGCTGGTACTTGTAAAAAATGGTCTGCGTAAATGCTTCCTTGCTCAAGACTCGAGAGTCATAGTTACTCCCGCCGTTTACCCGCGCTTGCTTGAATTTCTTCACGTTGACATTCAGAGCACTGGGCAGAAATCACATTGAGTCAACACCCGCAGGGGCCATCTCAATGCTTTGTTTTAATTAGACAGTCGGATTCCCCCGGTCCCGTCCGTGCCAGTTCTGAGCTGACCGTTGAATGGCGGCCGAAGAGGACACCAGAACGCCCTTGCGAGCGCACTCTGGGCCTCGCAGCAAGACGGTTCCGCGGGAGGCCAAGGCACGGTACCGAGTTCGGATCCGCAATCCTACCGCACACGCGCGAACGCATACGACAGAACGTTTCACCTCGCCCAGGCCCGGCACGTCAGCCGCGACCCGCTTCCTCGCCAAGCCCGACACGCCCCGATCCTCAGAGCCAATCCTTATCCCGAAGTTACGGATCCAATTTGCCGACTTCCCTTACCTACATTATTCTATCGACTAGAGGCTCTTCACCTTGGAGACCTGCTGCGGATATGGGTACGAACCGG